GACATCAATTCAATGAGTCATTTCTCGCTGGCATGTTTACGTTTTAAAAAGGTTTTTTAAAAATATTTTCTTTGTACAAATACTTTCTGCACTCACTACGTATATAACTACGATTATCAGGATTTCTTAATTAATGTTTACATACAATTTAAAGAACTGTACTATATTAAGAATAGAGGTTTTACGATAAAATAAAATCAAATGAGGAACATAAAAGCCAACGCTAGATTTTTATGCGTAAACATTTTATCATTCGTATTCTATATTAATAATAAACGTTTCAGCCTTCTAATTAGGGCCATCTTTAGTATTATGAAATTGTAAATGTGTGATTACAAGAAGTTATACCCGTGTATGAAATTAAATATATTGCTCGAGTTTTTTTCCCTAACAATATTAATCTTACATCAATGTTACTTGCATATCGCTCGCTAGTCAATTTATTATTTTATCTTTGCTGTCAATTTATTATTTTATCTTTGCTGTCATAAGCTTTCTAGATATTGGTAATGATATTCGTCTTTTTACTATTGTTAGTGTTACCAATTCCAATCGGCGAATTTTGCATATATTGTGATAGACAATCATGATGGTTAATCTTACACAATGTGTACACAAGAGTTATAAATCCTAAATTAAAGATATGTTGAGTGAATTAGCTTATTTTCTAAAAAGAGTCAAACTATTAATAACTTATTTACTTGTGTATGCATTATGAAATGCCATCACAATAATCTAGTTGGTGTGTGTAAAACTTTTCTGTCGTAAATCAAATCAAAAAAAGATCCGATTTTTCCAGCAAGATTTATTAACGAATATTAATGCCTCGTTGATTTTATACAAAACGCGGGAGCAATGTGAAGGAAAGGAGACAAAATAAAAAGTCAGAGAGCGAGTAAACACTCCAAGATAGGGACTCTAAGATAAAAATTATTCTGTTGAAGTACAACTCTCAATTAATTATCTTTCGTCTTCAAATCCAAGTTTAGGTTTGGGTGAACGATCTCGTAATATTTTGCCTTTTATCACCTGTATGCTGAGTTGTTTTTTTTTAATATGGGAAATAAATGAACTCCATCCCATCCATCTATCGGATTACGCGTACTATTTGCAAGCGAACGACTTTAGTGTTGTTTTAGTAAAGATAACATCATCGGATATAATCAATCATTTACCATGATAAAATTTTCATAGATGACTAAGTCAGGTTGAAAATATCATGATGTATTATAAATTTTATATTAGCTATTGCATATGTTTATTCACTACTTGGCATTTATTCTAATTCAAAATAATAAAGAATCATGAACTATTTAATTTTAATATGTTAAAATTATTGAATTTTAATTATTTACTATTTTTTAAATAAAATAAATTAAACTTATTTTATACGTACTTTGTTATTGTGGAAATATTAATATACTCAAAAAGAATTACATGAAATTTTTCGACGTATCATGTTGTTTTATAATTACCACAATTTTCAGGATAAATTCCAAAAGAAAGTCTCTTTATGTATAACACAATCTAATCGAAAGGATAAATATATTGTGAATAAGTAAATTATCTGTCTTGCCAAAAGTAAAACTTTGAGTAGACATCTTTTCAAATTTTTTTATTGCTTCAGCTCGAAACCTTCTAATTCTAATTCTCTTACATGGATCGAATTACATAAAGAATTATTTTTTAAAATTATTTTTTTAAAACTATTTTTTTGAAAAAATTCCGAATTAATTTGTTTTAATTCGATTGATGCGCTGCATTATGCATCTGTTTAATGCACTCGATCCTACTGACATTTCGAATTGACTCGTAAGGGCAGATTTATCCGCTCGTGCTCCGTTTGCATTATGCGAATGGCAGGATTTATTCTGCTCTCGAGACGAGGCCCGTTTTGGTCGTGCAGCACGAGAATACGCCGCTTGCGAACGCAACGGAAGGGGCATGCAAATTTATCAATTTAGCGCTCTGGTGCACTCAAACGCATTGCATCATTGCTCCGTAATCGCGGCGGAACTGGCGCGATGATTATCATTATGTACTATTCGTCGTCGTTGTGTTTTAACCTTCATATTTTCCAAACGCGTGAAATGAATGAATTTAAAATTAGGTCAGTGAATAGCGTTTCGATATATTCTAAAAATAAGGGTGTAGAGATTTAATGATGTTAAGCCCACATCATATTAGTATTTATATCATTATCAACACGATGAGAATTATATAGGCATCGCATAGTGTTAAATCCACATAATGTTGATGTTGATGTGAGCATTAATATAGGTAGATTTAATATGATGATTTTGTATACTTATATCACCATTTAAAGTTATAGTGTTAAATACATAGTATGTTGGTGTTTGTATCAACACTTACACGGGTGAGAATCATATAAACACCGCATGTGGTGTTACATCCACACCTATATTTTTTCCAACGTAATCGTTCTGCTTTCCAAGTTATATAAAAACCGAATTTATGTAGATTATCTACGTAAAATGAAAATAAAACTCGATATTGATAATATATTTGTTGACGGTGTTTGTGAAAATTTTACTTATTTTTCAGTACTAACAATAAGAATGAATTGTTGAGTATCGTCGAGTTTCTTACTCTCCCTTTTTATCAGAAACTTGAGACGATGATCATTCGTCGTGTAAAAACACGCGTTTGTCATAGCGCGGTCTAACCTTGGCGAACGCAGCATAAAATTAAGTGACTCACGTTCTCACGAAGGTGATAAGTACAACGGAGTTATCGTACAGCGGTTGCCCGACGCGGAGTAATTGAGCGGATAAGCCGGACTCTTTTAATTCTCCGATGAATATATACTACAGAGTTCGAAATAACCCTGCACCCTACACCCATGGTTTTCTTATCACGTACAACCTTAGAAATATCGGCTCGTCGGAGTCTTACTTTAGAAGCCGCAGTTATCGACTTATTGTACTCACCACATATAAGATATCGAAGTTGATCGTCTTGTGTGAGAGATACACAATAGCTCGAAAAGGTATTCGAATGATTCCACTCAAATGTTGCTGCAGCATCTGAACTCACTCCGTGAAATGCCAGCCAGCTTTCCCTCGCAACAGACAGCGCAAATGTCTTCGGGAAGAGTCTCGTTATTCATTTCTCGGCTAAAAAATTTATTCATTTGGTGTCTTCTAAAAGGCTCGTCAAGTCAAATACAACTGTTATACATATAGCTTTCGATGTTGGAAGAACTTTGTGAGAAAATTTTCAGATCTAGTGCTGCTGAATGATTATAATGTCAATCTCCACTTGAGAAACAATATAATTAAGCTGCATTCACTAGTACGTAATCAATTTTTTGTTCGCCAAGATGTCCAATTTATTGAAATGTGCCTGGTACAAATGATGAATAATTGCTGAGATATGAATAAATATTGTTACGTTGTAATAAACTTTAATAGATTATGGACTTGTTTGTGGTTTGTCGGATGTGAAAAATGTACATAAACAATCTTAAAGCTTATGGAATTAGCTTGAAATAGTTTTTTTAATTTCATACAGTCATTAATTCTCGAAATAGGGCGTTTTAAAGATTCAAGATATTATAGGATCTCAATTTACGTTAAAATATGAGTTTATCAGTACAAATGTGTAATCGAATTGGGAAAGTAATATTCGTATTTTTCTCAAAGTTTTATGTATTTATATACGATTCTAGTTCTGCATGACTCTCCAAAATTTATTTTTGGAAAAACAGCTTCGAGAAAAATCGCTTTTTTTTTTAAATCGAAGTTGTTTTTCTAAAAATTTCCTCGTTTTACTTTTTTATGAATCAATTGAAATAAAATAAAGCCAATGTGAGTCGCCACAAGATGTTCGTGTTTTAAGATAAGTGTATTTAATCATAAGATATAGATGTTTCGATCCTAAGGATTGCATCGTCTTCAGTGTAAAATAGAGTTACTCGTGTACTCCAATAATTAATTTTGAAATTAAAACTTGTCGACAAAGACAACATCGAAATAATTTTGCAGAAGTTAAACTTTATTTCAAGGTTTATAACTTTATAAAACAAAATTTTACAATGACGCTTACTACGATAGGAAAAGCGTAAATCAAGAAGTGCATTGTACATGCTAATATAGTTTTACATATAAATTTTATTTAAGGATGTATCAGAGATATTTCAAAATGATAACAAAATTATGAGAGATTATTCTAAATCGTATTTAAAAGTAATACAACAAATTTTTTGACAGTTTACTATCTGGATCGTAAATTTAATTTTTAAAAATAAGTAATAGTATTTTTTAAATCTGTGCTGTAATAGAAATGTATTATAAAATAAATAACAAAAATCTCAATTTTTTATTATAAGTATTTTATGTATTCAAGATATTATTTACATAAAGTTACATTGCGATGCTAATTGTTCAGTAAATAAACAAAATATTTGTTTGTTCTAAATCTTTGGTAACTGATCAGTGAATCGCAATGAAACTTTGCAGTTATTTTGAGAATACTTAAAATATTAATTTAAAAAATTTAGATTTTTAACATTTTTTATATTTATTAGTTTATAACAATAAAAATAACGACAGATAAATAAAAAACTATAAAAATAAACTATAAAAATATGTTATTCAATAATAAACAGAATGTTATGAATATAATTTTTATACGTGTATAATTTTTTTTTTTTTTTTTTAAGTATAAATATTAACACATTTTGTATGTGTATTCTGTTTATTGCCGGCATATTAAATTATTTATATTTAGCTAAACGACAGTTTTATTTATTAACGTTTTCAATTTTTTACTTATAACGATTAATCTTAGGCTTGTAGCCCTTCTTCTTTCGGTATTAACACATTTGTAAAAATCCGACTCCGACATATCGTTAAGAGAAATTTCTGAAATCTAAAAATATATACGTATGATTTATAAATTTCTAAAATAAAGATAATTTATTAAAGAAAAAGGGAAAGAAAATAAACATTCGCATTTGTCGATTACAAATGTTTCAGGTAGTCCCAATGCTACTCTATCAAGAAGACATTTCGGACATCCTTGTTTCAAGTATTTCTTGGCGCGAACGTGAGTACGTCTACTATACTCAGCTCCCGCTCACAAAAAAATTTTTTTTGGCTAAACGAAACGAGCGAAAAATTTTTTCTTGTGAATTTGGAAAGCGTATAAATAGCATATTATTATATAATTTATTCATTAAGATTTGGTTAAGTGGGAAGACTAGCTAGGCAGACGTAAGCTCGGTAGGACGAATTGACCGTATGCTAGCCGGATCAGACAGCGACTAGAAACAACATCTAGAACGGAGAGCAGCGGACAACTAAAACGGAGTAGAGCAGATGTAGCTATAGTCGGCCGTCTGTCTTGTAACCTTTGCCTCGCTTTTGCGTCACGCTCAGTCGCGGTTCGGCTTTCTGCTGGCGAACGTTCCTTTTCTCTTCTCGTCATCCGCCGCGTAACGGAAGCTATTACTTGCTGCTGCACCAAAAGTAACAGCATTCGCGTTACAGACATTAGTGACACCGAAATTTCGAAGCTACTGTTTAAAATAAAATAAAAATTGGAATGCATGTCAAGATGTGGTTTCCACGTTTTAACTTTCGAAAACGCAAACGCAACATATAGAAATAGTAACATGTACTTTATCGACAGGGGGTTGAAATGATTTCAAAAAAAGTTTCGATCGTCCATTAATGCAGTGCGATCACTTTGATTGAATAATCGTTAAATGAAATCGCGTGATGCGGTTTTATTTAAACGCGCAAGCGTCGGTGCCGAGTGAGCGAGTGTGTTTGAGTCGCGGAAGCGAGTCACGAGACAGAAGTTTGCGGCAACGCGCATGCGAAATCGCACGCGTGAGAAACGAACAACGTAGATGCAAGTGCATCCGAGCGTAAACCGAGAAATCGAGTTTAAGGGGATGTTGGAGCGACGGCAATTATTACGAATTACAGTGCAATCAAAATTTCCGAACTGGCTTCACGGATTGCAAAATTTTTTTACAGAATTAAAATACGCACTAGAAAGTCCGGGTATGTCGATTTCAGCGAGAAAATCGCACAAAAATAAAAAAAAAATTCGTTCATTTTTTACTCGTATAACTGTCACCTGAAGTTATCAACATATAAAAACTTTATAGTTCATACATTGAGAAAAAAAGGTTTTGTTTCCAAAAAATGTTAGTTGATTCAACTAAATGCAGCGGTTACGAGTTGTCAAGCTAATATTTGTCGATTTAAATAAATAACATGTCGACAATGCCTCATGTATAATATTATATTTAATTTAAATAAATATCTAAAAATTCTTACAAATAAGAACTAAATAATCACTACGAATTGTAAAAGCATTCATTCAAGTTAATAACTCTTTTCTCAGTGTATGAATAGTATAAATATTCAGTAGATCTAAGATTACTTGAACGAACAATACTGATTGTGAGTTTGTATAACCAACAAGTAAACTTACCTTTCTGTGATTCCCTGAAACTTTAATAAAACTTCGTATATTTGTAGAGTAGTAAAAAATAATAGACGTATTTTTTTATGTACAAAAAATGTGCACACCAAGTATACTTTGTGATTGCTATATTGCATAATGCGCACATTAGTTTAACAATTTTTTTAACAATAATTTATGGGATTATCCAAGTCAAGTGATTTCTCTTGTAAATGTACCACTTTTGTTCCACGACAAATACTTAATAAATTGAGAAGACAACTAATTATAAATAAGCGATCAAAGTTTGGTAATGTTATTTCCTAGTTTACAAGTTTACATCATAATTATACAAAATAACTATATCTGAAAAAGTACAATATGAAATTTTTTCAAATTTTTAGAAGAATAGACGAAGGTATAGAGAGGTTTAATCATTGCAGTTGTTCCCGCAGGAATTGTTGAACTAATATTGGGCCAACATTGGGCCAATTTTTGCTTAATATTAGCGAAATATTGGAAAAATAATTTGTAGGGAATAATTTTTGTGCGCAAACGAATTGTCGGCAAAAGTGATGTAGGCAAACGATATTGTAGGCAATCGATTCGTAGAAAAAAGGAGCCATCTCTTCAAGTACGATCTTTTCACGTGTCAGTTTCCATTTATCAACAATACTGTTAAACATTCAAATCTAGCCAATTGACGTTCTCTTCGACGTTTTTTTTTTCATATATATTCGATATCGCAGGTTTTATTATCGAAGACGCCTGAAGATAGGAAGTCGGATCTGTCGGTCAGTGACTGTGTAAACACATTTAAAGCGAATCGTTTCTTTCGCGCCCGCTCTCTCGTTCCGATTCATCGCGAGTATTTGCATTACATCGAAGAGGACGGATCCGATACAGTTATCTGCTAGTGATAACGGCGATGACGCTCATCCGCGGGAGATTCGCGGCACAACACACTAGTTTGACAGGAGACGGTTGACTTATCGCGCTAATAATAATGCTCTTCGTTATATATACGCAGAATGTAATGTAAGCGCTGCGACACACGTGATTTCATATAATCGCTCAATCGCGCCACGAGATATTGAACTACTTAACTACTCGGCTTAATCCTCTTAATACTCGAAGAATATACTCGCTATTGTTCTCAACGGAATCAAATGTTTCTCGATAATTTAATTCGATATTTGATTAAAATTGTTTTGCAACATTCTTTTTTGCGGTTTATTAGATTATTGAGGTGTGAAAATTAATGTGTATTTAATTAAAACTGCAAATTTTTAAAGCACCTTTTATTTTTTTACAAACTTTATTTTCGTATATTGTTCACATATACAATATATATATATCTTTTAAAAAGGATTATTTTGCAAAATAAATTTTCTTTGGAACATGTATACTGCTCCAAACAATTACATGACTATTTCTTCAGAAAATGATGACATCTAGAAATATTTGAAATTTCAAAATTTTCTCTCAGTATCTTCTCCAAATTCGAGATATTAAATGAATATGTCTGTCGGAACATGCTACTTTGATTTTTCCTAATTGCTGACATTTGAGCCAAACTATCGAATCGAATCTTTCCTATTTGTTGCAAGTGGTATGTTGTTAACTAACTTCCAACTATGTGTCTCGAAGCATTAATCAACCAGCTTACCGTCATGCTCTTATTACTGTGAACGGTATACTTTTTCTATCCGTTTCTAATGACCCTCGCTTGATCTCTTTTATATCGCTACGTATTTTTCTCATCGTCGTTCCTACCTGGTTAATGACTCCGCCGATCTTCCACGGCGATCGTACTGAATTTCCGCCTACGTGTTTGCTTCCCGTGTGCCCAGGTGAAAGAAAAAGGGACAATGTTGTCGTACATGTTGCCGACGGAGGACAAGCCACCGCCCGGCGAACCCAACAGCAGCCAACAGAACAATTATCGCACGACCAGCAAGCTGCAAAAGAGCACCGCTGTAGTGAGCACATCTCCCAGAAAATGCACGGACACGACTAGAGCGATGATCGTCTCCACCAAGATCGAGGATCCGACTGGCGGCGATCCTGTCGCCCGACACGGTTTCCCTCGACCGGTCGAGAGCCCGAAGCACAATGGGACGACAACCGCGAGGAAATCGACCCTGCACAACGCCAGCAGGGTTACTAAGGACGACAGCCTCTACAGCATCGACAGCGTAGCCAGTACCGCCGGCAGCGAACGTAAGAACAAGATTCTCAACGGCGCGAAGCACGCCAGCCTGAAAAGGTAAGTGAAGAAGATAGCAATAAAAACAAGCGATTTATTTCAAATTAAGATCATCATAAACGAGAAGTCACTAGTCTAGATCTTGTACACTCTGTAAAAAATAAAATAACGTTAAATTATTTTTTAAACAATTATAAATGAAATTCAATCGAGAAATGTTCAACACAAATAAGCAAAGAAGATCATATTCAGTTAAAGTGGATGTTGATATCTAATAACATTTTTGCGTGAATCTTATGATCTCCACACAGTTCAAGCTTGTTATTTTTTTATTTCTCTCTCTCTCTCTCTCTCTCTCTCTCTCTGAGAGAAAAATTTTTGGTATTTGTGATTATAATTATATTTTACCGTAATTACGATTATTACTACAACAATGTTATTAATAATAACTATATGTATAGTTTGTCAATAAATATAAATGTATACATAGTTGGCAACCAAAAGTAACTATAATTGTAATTATAATTGCTATACAAAAGATTACAATAATTATAATTTAACTACTACTTAACGACTAAGTTTATAGTTATTTCGGTTACTAACTATATATATTTATTGATAGAACGATATATATAGTTATTATTAATAATGTTATAGCAGTAATAATCATAATTTGATGGCAACATATAATTTTATAGTCACAGAAACTAAAAATTTTTTTTTTAATGCAGGACTCCGTGACACTGTTATCATCTGTTGTATCCAAGATCAAGAGTTATAAATATAATCCGAAAGGGGTAAAAATCACAAATCTTTGAAATCGAAGCACTGTTATTGTTTTTCTCAAAGAAAATGTTGAAATTAAATCGCATGTGCTCTCTTTCTCCCCGCCCCCCCTCTCTCTCTCTCTCTCTCTCTCTCTCTCTCTCTCTCTCTCTCTCTCTCTCTCACAGCAGGTTCATTAGGTTTTACATGATAAAATGCCTCTTTTTCGCGAAAAAGAAAAATAACGTCACTACATGTCGAGTCTACGGACTGACTTTCGCAGCCCGTACAAAACTTTTGCTGGCACTTGCACGAAGGATAGGTCAGGGTCAACCTCGCCGTGACTTCGATGGGTCGTCATAATGCATCGAGCGGAGCCTCGCTCGGACAAGACGTACCGAGACGATCGAGACCATCTCCTGAATGCATTTAATAATTCTGACAAAAGACACATAAGATAGCGAGAGAGATATTTCAGTATGAAACCGGTGTGAAATAACGCAAAGTAGGAAAAGGCTTGATCCTATCGATTGTATATGTTTTAACACGTATATCTTTTAACGTGTCACAAATGTTACGATATTATCAAAATTGTATGACTAAAATAATATTCCGAGCTGAATTAGAATAGCTAAACGGGTTCCAACGTAATAACAATCTTGTCGACATGATATACGCAAAAGCACAGTTTCTCGTTATGCTGATAAAAATTCCTGATAAAAATTGATTTATGTTGATAAAAATTGAGAGAAATGTTTTGATACATATCAACAAAAATTGTCTTACTTTTTTATTAAAAAATTGTGTTGTTCTAATATATATTTGGTTAAGTAACTAAAGTTTGTTTTATAAGAATTATTTTAAACAAAGGAGGCGTATCAATAAAGCTGTTTTTTTGGTCCTACACAGATTTAATTTATATTGAATCAAATTGATTCTTTAGGTGGACTTTATATTTTCTTATAACTTTTGCATAATGACGAATAGTTCTTTTGAAATACACGGTTTTAAAATCGATTTTTTTGTGTAATTTCAGACATGATACTCTCCTTGTAATCGAGTTTGAATAATGTAAAAATTAAATGCTTTATTGACAATTGCGTTTGAAAATTATAAGTAATAATCATTATTTAAATATTTGTCTGTTTTTAGACAAATTTGTTAATAAGTATACTGGTACATTTTTTACAAAAAAACTAAAAAAAATGCTGACTAAAAAGTTTACTCATCTGATTTTGGACTTATATGTTGAAAACTATATTAAAATAGTGAATGTGTATTTTTATGTATCCATATAAAAAAATTTTATTGTTTTTCTTTTAAAGCAAATGCTATTAGTGAAACTGAAAAAGAAAAATCGTTTTAAATAAAAATCACACGATTTTTTAATAGTTTTTAAAAGTATTTCTTTTTCTTAGATTTGCTAAAACTCTGGTTATTATAGAAAGTTAAAAAAAAACTATATTTTTTAAAGACGCGTCACGTATACCCTATATATAGGTACATGTGAATATATAAGTAGTAAATATACTCTTCTGATGTTATCTAGAATTGTCGACAAAACTGCCGAAACTTTGAAAACTTATTCGTCTCTCGAATGTTAGAAATTTTTCGAGGCGTGAAAAACTTTTAACGATTTTGATAATTTTGTTAATAATTCTGGATAACATCACAAGAATTTTAACAAAAGATATCAACACTCGAAGCTGTAAAGTTAACGTTTGAGAAGTTATTGAGACTTCGTATCGCGAATCGAAAAATTTCTAACACCTGAATAATTTTTGAATGTTTCGATAGTTCTAATAAGAGTTCTAGATAACACTTAAAAAATTCTAACACAAATTATTATGATTTTAAGCGCTTAAATTAATACATATTTAAAGAAATATTGTATTTTTCGTACTTCATTTCGCGTGAAGTTAGCGCCGAAAATGTATCGGTGATTTTTTTTAGCAGAACTATTTTTAATTTTATTAAGGAACTCTAAAACTCTTCAGGGTATATTTAGAACTGTAAGAAAAATTTATTGTTTTAAAAGATGGTAACTTCACAGAGATGAAATTGTGTTCTATTGTAACAATGAGATTCAATTCTTTTTAAGCATTTCTCTTAATGATAAATTCCATGATAAAGAAATATTTAACATACTATGTCGATTAATGCATTTTCGAGGAGCGTTTATTTAAGTTCTTTATAATAATGCTGTGGCAGTACGTAGCTTGAATCACTCTAGAAAGAAACTGATCCGTGCCAAAACGCTATTGCGTACTTAGGAAATACTGTTGCGTATTTAGCGTTTATTTT